ATGCTTGTTTCCCTTTTTCAATTTCGACTCGTCTTCACGTTTTTTAGACTCCTCTTTCATACATTTCCCGCTTTCTTCTTCGTCCTCCTCGTCTTCTTCCATGTTGCCTACGTCTTCGTCTTCGTCTTCGTCTTTTACGTAGTCTTCGTCTTGAATTTTGTCTCTGTCTTCGCGGGATCGGTGCCCAGTGCTTCGTTTTCCAGTTTGTATGGACAACAGTTTTCTGCTTGCACGATTTTCCGCTCCGCAAATCACACTTTTTGGCCTGTGGCCGTTGATACGTCGTCTAGTCTTCGTACACGGTGATAGAATCCTTCCTGTTGTGTCCTCCAGAGAATCAGCTTCGTCCCGCATTTTTCCTCTAAAATTGGTCGAAGTTTTACTGGAAAAAATAGGACGCCGGTTATTCGTGGGTCTGACCGTAAACTCTGATGTTTTGGTCGTAACAAACCATGGATGCTGCAATTTGACAGGAGCTCCTCTCCGTCTATCCACGTTTTGTCTGACTCTGTCGTTCTTGGGTACAAATTTCCTTGTTTTATCCTCAGGATCGCGAAAACGCAAATGTAGGTAATCTCGTCTGTCCTGAGAGAAACTGCTGTCTCTCCCGAGGCTCTGCTTCACCATGTTCACGTTGCCCGCTTCGAACGAGAATTTGATCGCGGGATCCGCCGAACGCTTCTTCCCCGAAGCCCTGTAATCACCTCTGTCACTGGAGCCTCGTTTCTTAATCGCAGAAGGTGTCATCCGCTTCTTTTTTCTCCTGCGGATCGCCTTAGGCATCCTCCTCGGGTTTGATCCCAGTAATTCTGTCGTAGACACCGTGGCAGGAACATCCGTTTCGTCAGGAAACGTTGTTTCGTCGATGACAACCTCGTTATGGAACTCTGCACCCCCGGGCAAAGTTCGCTCGCTCTCGAATGGTTTTATCGAGGGTCGATACATCTCGTCGGTGATTTTAGTCGTCTCCGTCGTCGAATTTATAATAGTCTCTTCCACCATAGCAGTGGTCCCTTCGGTGATTATTAAAGTTTTGTTCCCTGGTTTCAACCCAAACGCTTTTTCTATGTTCTTTCGTAAACCACCGATGAATCCTGACGACTCAGTGGTGGTCGTCGGAGCGTGAGTGGCGATCTTAAAAAGATCGACTACTATCACCGCTCGCGTTAATCCCGAATCTGCGGTTGTGAATAATGACGCGTCTTCGTCGTTCAAATCAAAGGATTGAATTTCGTCGAGACCCTCAGGTGCGAACATGTTAGCTGTGACTTGATTGGGATCATTGATCACTGATCCCATTGTTGGTAAAACGACTAATTCTGAATTGGAGGTCGAACTTTTGTAATCGTCGAGCAGGTCGAGATTATTCAAATTATCTTCCTGATTGGAAGTCATTTGTTCACTCTGAGATCCAATGTACGAATTTTGATTTATACTAGCTGATGGACCGTTTTTATTAATATTTTCAGCCTCCATATTCTCCACATCAGGAATTTCGTACATCTGTTCGTAAGAGGGTGTACCCACTTCCTCGTTTTTTAATGGATTCTCCTCTTTCTCGTTTACTGGATTAATTGGCTTGCTCTCCTTCTCTTCTGTAATTGTTTTTCCCATCGTATCTTCTTTGAGTGCATCGCTTATACGACTGAACTTCTCTTCTATTTGTTCATCCACTCTGTCCAGTTGATTTTCATCCTTCTCCTTCTTTTCTTCTCTTCTCTCTGATTTTCCTGGTTTTACGATAGGCACGAAAGGCCTGGCATCGTTCAAGTATACCTGAACGTTGTGATCGCGATTCGAATTGATCCCAAGAAATCCTGAATCACCGTTTCTTCTTTTTTCCCTAGTCTTCTTCGATCCTCGCCGACTATGTCTACGTCGAAGATGCCTGCGCGATCTGTGGTTGTTCGTTTCACCATACATTACGTGTTTCCCACGCAGCTCCCGATCGTTCCCGAAGGATAAGTCCTTCAAGGTTCTCTTTTGCGGCGTGTAATTCCTTATCGTCTCTTTTGAACGTTTCTTGTATGAAAAATCGTCTCTCCTCGCCGGTACCGTTTCGGAAAGGCTCGCCTGGTCCTTGTTCGATTGAAAGCGTCTCTCGTTAAAAGTCCCTCGCGACGTATTTCCCATTACTCTATTTAAATTACCTCCGTCTCTTGTCTGGAGTCCATTGCTATTCAATAGGGCCGTCGACAAATTTTTTAAAGGCTCGTTTAAATGCATGGAGGGTCGAATCGCGAGAGAATCGATCCAAGCAACGGGAAACACTTTGTTCCTTCTCTTAGCCTTGTTCGGACTTTTATCTACGTGGAACGATTCCGGTTTCTTTCGCTCGCTCTCGGTCTTGACATCCTTCGACCGTCTATCCGTCACGAATTTTCTTCTCGCCTCGCACTTGGTCGATCGTAATGGATTCCCCGAGCAACTTTCCTCATAGACAAACGAACTCGACGATTTCTCCTCGAATCGCGGCGACTTTTTCGAACCGATCAAGCGGAACTCGAGATTATTCATGTCGTCGCAGCCAGTTTTCAAACACGAATTTTCCCCGTGTTTCAAAATACGTTCTCCAGTTTTTCCAATGGACGCCGGCTTATCTACGGTTGGCGGTTTTCCAACTTCCGGTCGATCGTGCTTATTCGTGGAATACTTCTCGCTACCGACTGGATTTGAACTCCACCACCCGGGGATTTCCTTGTTGTTCCCAGTTTCCGGTTTCTTATGTACATAGGATCCTTTCGACGAAACTTCATTAATTTTATGAGGAGCTAGTTGAGCTTCAACGCAAGATCCAATTGTTCGACCGACGTCTTCGTTTGTCTTCAATCCTACCGTCTCCAGTTTCTTATTTACACACGGCTCTTTCGATAAAACTCCAGCTTTATGGGATAGAGAGGGTGGACGAGCCTCCATTTTTAGACCAGCATCGTTGCTTTTTATCCCCTCGGATCCCCTTTGATCCGTTTGTAATTTCGTATTTACATCCTTCGAGACTTGATTACTTCCTTCGGTCGTAGGAGTCGATTCGACTTTTTGACTTACACCTTTCAATCCCTTTTCACTCTTCGCTTCTAATTTCATATTTACAGGTTCCTTTGAGGTTTGATGAGAATCGAACGCGTTCGATTTCTTTTGGCTCCGTGCCACCGAATCGCATCCCGTCTGTGACCTGTTGCAAGGTTTGTTTGTTACCTCCCCATAGTTTGACTTGGCTCCAGAACTCCGATTCGAGCTCCCGAATCGATGTCCCTCGTTTATGTTCGAGCCGCAGGAACAACAGAAACCCTGAAACCCCATTCGTATCACTTATTCTCCAGGGAACGCGATTTATATCTATTCAACAAGAGTGTTTAATCTTTGGTTTAATCCCGATATGGAAATCAATTTCCTCCACCCTTTGTAGCACAATGAATCTAATTAATTTGTTAATTTTCTATCAGGCGTTGGAAAATGAATTTTGGTTCTTCAAAAGGCGTTTACCTCGCTAAAAGGAACCGACTGACCGTGCGCAAAGATTCTGCCACAAGTAGGATGTTCCGGGCCTGTGTCGCACCCCGTGAAATTCGGTTTTCTATTGTTAATCACCTCTTCCCTCGCTTCTGCGTTAACAACCTTGTTCAAAGTTGCGCGGATCAATAAAGTTGGACCGCGAGAATCTCGGCAGCGACTCCACCGGTACCAGCAATTGATAAAACACCTCGCGTTGGTAAACGATTATTTATCAAAGAGAGATAACGGACCAGCAGAGTCGCTTTTGAAAAATTCAGCTTCGTAGAAGAGTTTAGATAAAAATTTTGATGCTTACACTTTTGAATTTAAGACCATACAATTGTAACACAGCTTCTTGGCGAACTTTGATTACGTAAGGATTTCGCAGGGGAATCTTTCTCATTGTCAATGAATCCAGTACGTGTTCCACCACCACGAATTTCTCTTGAACCTCGGTCTAATTACAAATATTATTATTATTTTATAAATGATAACGATCAGTGAAATATTTCCTGAAGGATATTTAATTAGAAGACCTTGCCGATGTTGTTGAACCTCATGCTGATAACAATTTTCCTGGTGCAGTTTGTTATCGTGCTTGGGTCCTGTTCCTCGACGTACCTACGTTTTCGACGAACGTGAAAATCTTCCGACGCACTAGAAACGATTATTCCAATTTTCACTTGATAATATTCATTTCGATTAATAATTGAACGACTGGGTTTGATACATTTATAGAAAATCGAATGCAATGCTTAATTAAAGGTTTCATTTCGATGTGCAATCCCTGTTTAGCATCGAAATAAATTTATTACCTTTCCTCCGAGCATCGGGAGAGTACGGCCCTGATCTCGATCGACGGTCGATCCCATTCGAAATCTTCGGCCGCGCGTTTCGCGCGAACGTATCGAGACGCGCATTCAGGATTCCTCGAGGGGTGAAACCGCGGAGCGTATTCGAATTCCGACACGTAGCTGGAACGCGTCGTGCTCATTCTGGGACAGGAGAGCGTCATCTGCACAGATCAATCGATTTTGCGCGAGAACAATGTCAATTAATCTGATTGATCGTTGAATTGATTAAATCGATTAATACGTTTTCTTTTTAATTCTATTATTGTTTCACTTTTACCAAGAGGATCAGGAGGTACCGAAAAGAGGGTGACATGTTGATTCGTCTGTCAGTGGACTCATTCTCGGACGCTGGCGTGCAGCCTCGAATTTTTCGTCCCGCAACAAATTCCGCGCATGCAAAAATCGTTCTCGGACTAGCCGACGGTTTCTAATTGACTTTTTTCACTGACCAATTACGGTTTACTCGAGTGTTGGGGTTAGAAGCAGAGGAACGTCGAGATACTCGTCTGTTTCCCCGTTGGAAATCGAAATCGTTTTCTACTGTGTTCAGGAAATGAAACTCGTACATAAACCATATCTATTTACCGTTTGCAATTATTCATCACGCGGTAGGTACGCGAAGGAGGGAGGGAGGGGGGCAGAAAAGAAGACTCGTATATAAACCATATTTATTTGCCATATGAGTTATCAGCCATTTACATTTACAACGGTGTTTTAAATAACGTGACTTTATGCTTTCGGCGAGGGACATCCGGTGACAATCCTTCCTCTTGCAGACTATTTTTTTTTTTTTTTATAATTGATTCCATCGATCGTCGAATGATCCCCCAAATATTATATGTACTTAAGTACTGCTTAAGAATATCACAGATCGCGATTCTTGCGTAAACGCGCTAAAAATTGTAACAACCTTCGCTAGCCGTCGGCTCACGACGATGAAATTAATATTCTCCCATAGGGTTTTGATCGTCGAATTAAAGGAACGCCGAGTCGCGGCGAACAGCTCTTAATAAAAATTCATTGAAGAAACAGACCGATGAAACGTTTGTGCAACGTTTGCAAACTCGAGGTCCAATTGCAAACGAACTATTCCTATTCAATTTGGTAATTCATAAGTCGAGTTTTTACGCAGTTATCGTGGGATTTAATGACGTGGGACATCGGTGAGCCGCTCGTCGGAGTCGACGGTAACTGAAATTTATTTTCCATCGAGAACCGAGCGAAACGGTGTCACGAATAAAAGCGAAGCGCCGAAATCGAAGAGTTTTGTGTTTCCGTAGGGATAACCAAGCGAAATACAGGGTGAATAGAAGCTCTCTATGCCTTAACGAAATCCGCAGGCTCTATCCAATTCGTTAAGGATGGATCCTTCGGGTTAACCGAACTAAACTCAAAGGAGTGGAGAGTTATTTACAGAGTTAGAGACTAAGAAGACAATCGGTGTGCGAGAAGAACTAAATTAAATAGTTTCGCAGTTCACATTCGTCAATCCTATCCATTATTCATCGGCCCATTCATTGTCCATTGTTCATTGTTCCTGTTAGCTTCTTACAAGCTGAAGTCCGGTTGCATTGAACGATACTTTCTATACTCTTCGAGATTACTTCGTCGCTGCCTAAAGTTGCGTCAATCTTGGCTAAACATTTTTCCTGCCTACCGTGGAATCGACTAATCGATTCTATTTTAACGACACACACGTCTCTAATCGTTCCAGAAAACCGAAGCGCTTCTGTTAATTTGTTCTGCGTGCGTACGTATTTTTTTTTTTTTGTTTACTTCGTTTGCATTCGTATTTTAATCACACTCTCGCCTGTAAAGTAATTTATTGCTTGTCACTATGATAGAATCTAAGGTATCTCTAAAGCAGGGAGAGATTTTTATTTAACGTTAATGGCGCGTCTTCAAACGAGCTTGTCAGTTTTGGTGAAGAGATCCATCGCCGTTCATCGATTCGTCATGCTCGAAAATTTCTGAAATTAATAAATCATAAAATTATACAGGATCAGTACGAATCATTTATTAAACACACAGAAATTTATTCGTTCAATAGGTTCCATCGATTGATGAGATCGAGCAATAATTAGTGATTTCGCATGATCTATTTTTATTGATTTATTTTGTGTGTACCTGAATCGATTTCTTCGACGCCGGATCGCTCGACAATTGCTGAGAAAAGATGATTACAACCCTCGGGCCGCGAGTCCCCAATTGAACGCGTGGGTGCAAAATACTTGACGTAGTCGGCAGAAATAAACGAATTGTCCACTGGTGTTCACCAAGTGGTGCATTTGTTAGGCGGATTCATTTTCGTCCCGATCGGGCAACGGAACGCGTCCGCGAACGCTTGCGAATTCATCATTATACCGTTCACCCTGAGAAATCACAATTTCCCCGTGTCTGATTTGATTCATGCGATTTGATCAAACGCTATTTGAACATGTTCAATTAATTACCTTTCGGGCTGCGGCGTGTGATAATCGAGTTCAACAGAAAGAATGTAGGCCTCGGCAGTCATATTGGAACAGTAAGTCTGCAATCGTAACGAAATCAATTGAAGATCAATCAGATTCACGTTGAGCCTGTGATAATTTGTTAATCACACTGTTTACCTGGGCGGCGCTTATGAAGAAAAGCTGGCTAGGGCGAAGTCCCTCCAAACCAGGAAGACTTCTGTCCCTCCCATTCGTGAGGGTATGCCAGGTTTTGTAAGATATCTGCAAGGCTCCGATATCAGCTACGTTCTCATTCCTCGTCACGTTCCAATCGAACTGAAACCCAAATACTCGTTTCTGAATCCAATTCTTATAAATTATGTTCCGCGAAACAAAGTGAAAGAGAATTTAATTATAAAATATTGAAGAAAGACACGTTGTTCACCTGTACAGCGACGTCGTTTCCGTAAAATTGAACTTTCCTCCAAAAGCTCTTCGCGTAGAGCCTGGCGACGCACTCGATCCTCGCTTCCAGCCTCCTCCACGACTCGGGCGTGATCCAGAGCCATTGATCGACGCTCAGGTCGGGGTCCAGTGGCAGTCGGCGTCGATGGAGGTCGAAAGCGTGTAGGATTTCGTGACCTATCACTGATCCAAGCGTCGCGTGGGCCGCGTAGGCCGGTCCGCCGTCCCACGACCACGACCAGGCCGTCATCATGGCCAATGGAATACCTAATTAACATTTTAATTAATGGTTCATACATCGATCAGACAAAAATATGACTTGATCAATGATTACATTGAAAATTATAATTAGAAATTGAAATTACCGATGGTATTCGTCGAGGATTCGTAATAAGCGCTCACACTGTAAGGATGTCGACGCCTGGAACAATAAGAGAATTATAATTTAATTTCTGTCCGCAGATATCTGTGAAGAAGACTGGCTCACTTCTCGGTGACGTTCCTCCTGAGAACCTTGTCGTCCACGGTGCGGATCTGTTTGAACCTTCTCAACACGCTGTGAAAGAAGTCGTCCGGGTCGATCTCCACCTGGTAAGTGAGCAGAATTTAAACGCTAGGGTGCATGCAAAGGGGAAGGTTAACTCACCTCGGCCATTTCGCGGGCCAGTAGACTGTCATTGTAGAAACCAGGCCACACGTGAAATCTTCCCCGCAATGAGTTCAATTTCAGTAGTGCCTGCGTCCTCGTCTCCTCGTCTAGCCACGATTTCACGAGAATGCGCTCTGCTACTGTCTCCTTCACTCGCTCGAACAGTCCTCCCACCTGTTTCATAATCCTCCTCTTAAGATACACATTATAGCTAGAGATCACATACTCGTCATATCATTACTTATACTAATTATGAGAATTGAGATTTCTATTTGAATTCTGCTATTCAAATCTATTTATGCTATTTAAAGAATTTTTTATTTATACTAGTTGTATAATCTTGTAATCACTCGAGATTACTTCAACACATGCAACTCGAAGTGCTGTGCACAATAGAAAATATTTTATAGTACTCGCGAGTTTAAGAGATTCCTTCAAGAGGTCTAAATTGTACGATGTAGTTGTTCGAATTAAACGGAATGTAGTTTACTCTGTTCGCGAGGGTTTCCAAGTACTGCGGGGTGTACTGTCGCACATATAAAGCACCCACGACTTCGCTGAAGACGTCCTTGGTGAGCTTGAAACAGGAAAGTTCCCAGTCCTTGCTCGCTGTTACGTTCACGATGTCGTGGAGAGTGTTTGTAGCGTACAGCAACAGCAATCCGTTGTGAATAATCCTACGTAACAAGATGCGATTGTAAGTATTCTCTATTGGTATCTAGCTTTTTGCTCGGTGCAAAACATTTAAATATCTTGCAAAATAATAGGAATGTTTAAATGTCGAACGAGTGCGAACATTCTTTAATCAATCGATGGCTAACTACGATTCTCGAGGCGAAATAATAGCCACTCTCGAATAATATATATTTTATCGGAAGGATAATAGGCCAGGGGCCATAATAATGAACAGCTGGCACCGAAGGCATAACGAATCACCCTTATCGATTTCATCGACGCTTCCGGCCGCCCGGAGTCGTTCACAGAAATTCTAGGGTTCATATTTTCTACCCTTGCGCGCGTTACTTGCTAATTAATCGGAGTCAAAGTCTTCCTCATTATGAAACTACATTCTGTGTCCCTAAAATGTGAAGAACGCGTTTAGATAAAGGAAATCTTAATGTAAACTACGTTCGTTAATTTGCATAAAAGTGCACAGCCTCTTCGATGCGATTATATTTGTGAAAACATAAAAAATCAGACACACCGTTCTCATCTTAAAAGCTAAAGTTCAATCAGTGATGCAGAAGAGGTTGAAATTCGGATGAAGGGAGGGTTTATGGTCGAATTAGTCACCGATTTACGATCCTCGTTCTCTGACTGTATATTAAAATTTACGGTCGGTCCACGTTTATTAGCCGCGACGCATGAACTTCGCTCATAAATGTTATACAAGGCGTTGATAGTACTCCCAGTTAACGCTCTGCTCGACATTCAACATACGTTTCATTTTCATCGCCCGCCGTTTTCTACGAGATTAACTCACCGGGACGTAATTCGGCTCAGGATGATTTAGATATTAACTCGTAAAACTTGCTCGTAAACTATGCAGTACCTTTTATCCGAAGCCTATTCGCTAACGTATCGTACCGATTCGCTAAATCTTATCTATAAATGTCATCAATTCTCATTCTTACGAGTCAATAACCATTCTATTCGATGGACCTCCTTCTTCTTTTCCCTTCCATTCAGAACTATTTTATGTGTATTAAAAGTAATTTAAAGGGTATTGTCAAATTGATTCCTGGTCGGTGTATCTTCAGTCTCGCTTCGTAATAAAGAGTGTGAGTCAGGATTGGAAGCAACGGAGGCTCGTTCGAACGAGTCCGAAACATTAATGACGATACATGGTTGGACAGAAATTGCCAGGAAGGAGTACCTCCATTAATAATTATAGCTGAATCTGTATTCATCCCGTGGCTCGCGTCTGTCTGTCTAACTGAGGTAATAGCGAACGCGCATACGCCGGCAATAGTGGCGTTTCACAATCCCGAACGGTAGCTATCGGTTCGTTCTGCCCAATATTAGGATGAACCGATGAACTTCCAATCATTTCTATCATAGTTCTGTGCTGTTAGGAACAGAGTTATGCGCAAACCAGATAATCTTAAGGATGTATTGGCTATACGATCAGTCCCAAAAGTTTATGTACTTCAGAAAAACGCATTTCCTATAATTAAAAAGAAATCAGACGTCGGAAGAATAATGCTAATAATAAATAGCTACGTGCTAAAAAGTATAGAAGGAAATATTCAATTAATTACTGACGCTGGCGGAAAGCTTTTTATACAAAAATTATAAGCCCTGACGTCCTCAACAAGAAAGATTCTATGAATTTTTCTTCTAACTTCGATATTTAACAAGTTACATATGATTATTTGGCATTTTATTCATGTTGACAAAATCCGACCATCCCAGCGTCGAAAC